CGCTTCCTCTGGCTCCTGTGGTATGGGATGGATTCTTAAGACCCGGGACCACCGGGTTATCCATCAGGGCTCGGCTACTCGCCTCCATACTCCCTCCGCTTTAGCTTCCGAAGCTTTAGCTCTGAAATCAGCGCTGACCGCAGCGTCTAGAATGGAACTCACCTCCATCATCGTTTTTTCGGACTCTCAAGTCCTTATATCTCTGCTCAATACAGAGACCACTTCGAACGAGCTGCAAGGAATTCTTCACGATATTACCTTGCTTCGCTGTTCTTTTTTATCCATTAAGTTCTCCTTTGTTCCTCGCGAAGCTAACTTGTTAGCTGACGCGCTGGCCAAGTCCTCTTTATCTGCTTTATCTGCTTTGAACTCTCCTGCTATGTAACGACACTTCTTTATAATGAAAGTTGGTTTGCCCAAAAAAAAAAAAAAAAAAACATATATAGTTGGCAGGACTATTGTTGACAAAAAGTGAAAGAGATATTTGCTAAATGTCTACAGAAAAGAACTATTTGAGCAAATGTTTTACATGTCACAAGGACCACGACCAACCAAACCATTCACCGGCGTGACCAAAAGCAATCATTTCAGAATTTTAAAAAGAAGAAAATAGATACTTAGTTAACAGCAAGCATTATATTATGACAGTACTGAAAAACCAATACTGATCGGATGAGGCATAAAAGAAATGCATCGCTTAAGGTTCCTGAACGCTTGCGCGAATGGTATGCGTTTGCTTTTTATGCAAACTTATCTCGATGTATCATAGAAATTCGAGACTCTAGGGAAAGACCTTTCCAGAAGCGAACTAGAAGAGTACAAATTGACCTTTCTCGAGTTGGACAAGTCTGGGTTCGAAGAGCAACTTTATCACAGATCGACGATTTGTTATTATCTGTCAAAGAAAGGCAAGCAAATATGTTGGATCGGAGGAACAAAATGATGAATCTAGCAAAGAATAAGCTTTGAAAGAGTGGTTCCAGGCTTAGTGTTGTTGATGGATAACGATGATGCTCCTTGGCTTTTTTAATTTATAACTACTACTTTCTATTTATAACTGTGTTTAGTGATTCCTCTCGTTCATTTCTCTATTGCTAATGTCATTTGCTACATAATCTTAGTATTACACATAATTAGAGATGTTGTGATGGCACCGCAGTCTTAGCCCTGACTTTTCTGATCAATGAACGTGGGAAGAGAGCTCTCATGTTAAGATCCAATTCTGATCATTCATTGAAATCAGTAGCACCAAGTTTCTCGTAATAAAACGCATTCGGACAGATCGAAAACGTTTGAAATCAAACGTCTGGTGACACTTTCCTCAACAGTAAACTAGAATCAGGATGAGAACATCTTACTCGTTTCTTTTGATCAAACTGTTTCTTACAACGTCTACGTCAGACCTTTAACCAGAACTAAAAAAAAAAAAACTATAAAGAGAGGATAAAAGGTATAACCTAGCTTGTCTTGTGCGTTTAAAAGCTAGTGCAGTAAGCAGAGAACTGTCATTTAAGAGGACCAGTGAAAATGGGTTGAATCGCAGTTTTGAAGTCCTCACAAAACCGTTGTTCAGAGAACCTTACCGCTCGTTTTCTAGCAGATTCAGCCATTTTAATCCTCTCTTTTTCACTCATCTTCACAATCTCAAGGATCGCTTCGGCGTATTCCTCCACAGTCTCAGCAAGAAACCCGGTTCTTTGTCCGTCTTCTTCCAACACGATGTCCATTTTGGGTCCAGCTGAGTTGTGAGCTGCACAACAATTGAAAAACAGAGGATCCATTAGAGAAATTGCAAGAGTAACTGAAATTTTAAGATAAAATCACATACACAAGTCTTTATATCTGACCTATTGGGATCGCACCAGCCGCCATGTACTCAACAACGCTAATCCCAAAGTGTTCATCTATCATCCCATGCATTCCTGCAACTGCATTTCCTAGCAGTTCCACTAGTTCTCTGCAATCCGAAACTAACAACTAAGAATCATGGAAGCTCTGAGAGTATTGCAAGACAAAAGTTTTGAATAGAGAATGTCGTAAAGAGCTTTGAGCAAACACCTGTACATGGCGTTTTTATAGAATTCCACGTCTCCATCCACTTTTAGTTCAACTGCTCTGTCTTTCAATTTCTGCAGACGTTCTTCATCTGAATTGTTTCTACAACTTCCCACAAATTGGAGCTTGGGTCGAGGGACGTCTGCATCTAATTTCTCTAAGGCTAGTGCAAAGATCTCAAGCTGAAGCATATGAGCCTGATACAAGACTGTAATTGAGTAAGCTGGACGACTCTTTTGAACTTTGGAATGTGAGACCTCAAAACTATAGTACCCTATTCCCATAAGACAAATACTGGATCCCTCACCTTCTCAGGACGAAACTGAGCAACGGATATGATTTTTGGAGGATCTGAAGATCTTTCAAGTGGGAATGCCTGCATTAAGCCCAAAAGGTTAAATAAAAGCCATAGAAGTGACAAGAAAACAGACAAAAATCATAAGATTCAAGCTGTCTGATGGTTATCACCTGAAGTCCTGAAGTATCACAGGGCGGGTAGACCCGTGTAATCCGTTCTGGAATTCTCCAGAGCACTTCGATATGTGACTTTGTCCACGAAGAGTTAACCATAGCTAGATGAGTACATGACCCAACCATCCCATACATCCAGCTAAAAGCTCTGTAATAGACTAACTTGCAAGTAGATAACCAATTGCTACACAAACAAAAAGCAACAAATATCATTAGCCAACACGACTTATACTAAAGTCTGAAAAACACGAAATAAGCAAGGAGATAACAAAAACCTCTTAGCAATGGAAGCATCATTGTTATACATAGAGTTCCTCTGACGAACACGAGAAATCATATCCAAACTAATAGTTGGATAATGAGTATAGCAAACAACTTTGCAACCAAAGATCCGAGCAAGAGGATATGTGAAAGCATATCCACTAGTGTCAAGGAAATACAAAGGAGTGAACTTGCGTAATGCTTCCCACGCTAAGTAAACCGAACCAAGACTCTGACCTATCATTGTGAAATGTGGGTAAGTCCTCTCTTCAATCCATTTCCTTTTGCTTAGATAAATCACCTGAGCCACACAATAACAACATCAAAACTAACCCAAATTGCAGAATTTAAACTTGCCCTCAAATCTGAGAGGCTCTGTGTTATTAGAACCAATTCAAATTGAATTAAAGTTGATAAAGGTTTAAACTTTAAGATTGTTGATCTATTAAAGATATAAACTTTAGGAGTAATGGGACCTTAGGAGGAGATTGAAGGTGAACACCGAATCGATCAACGGCGCGACGAGCTAAGCTATCAGAAGAAGAGTCATGATCTCCGGTGAAGATGACACAGTCAAGATCGGGATTTTCCTCTTGGATGGCTTTGACTGCGCACCAGAGCACTCTCTCGCCGCCGCCACCGTCATTCGTGTACGGATGGAAGAATCCCACCGCACGTTTTCTGCTCTTTCTTGCATTGATCACGGAAAGTGATAAACTCAGAGATACGGCGAAGATGATCGTGAGAAGTGTATAGAGAATGAAGCAGATCGCCATGGAAGCAGAAAAGTAGACAATTCCGAAACTTTGATTTATTTGGTTTCAATCTTAAATCGTGTTTCTGAATATTGTAGAAAACACCCCCAAACTATGACTATATTACAGTTATACCCCTTATATCTTGATTAGTTAAATAATTGGGGGGGTTTAACTCCCAAAATTGATGCCAATATTCCCTTTCATCACCTCTTCCTCTAAATAGTCAAATACTATATAACATTGTTTTCTCTTATGATCCAAATAATTGAAACGTCTGGCTAAACAATTAGAATTTTGTTTACTACGATCCAAATTATAGGAAAATTAGGGTTAAAAGTTTATAATTTTACTTGATTCATTCATTTCTAAAGGACATTGGTGTTGTGACTTGTGAGTAACATTTCAACCTCACAACCATCTTCTCTACAGCATAAGTTTAAATAAAACCACATGCTTTGACTAACACCAGCATTGATCCGAAGTTAAGCCATGAGAATCCAAGTATGTGTCAATATACTCCTCTTGACACATTCAGTACTTGTATGTTGCCACAATCCATGGATTCGCTGTCCAAACAAATTGAAGATGACAAAGTTCTTACTACAAATTTGAAGAAAATATTCGAATTCAATAATGTATTAAAGAAAAGATTTCATATAGTAGTATTAAAAATGAGATTTGATGTAAAATGTTCACTTAGTCTCTCTGATTTGGCTTTTAGTTGTAATATATAAAATGGCCAGTTGACCACTTAGTCTCTCTAATTCGACTTTTGGTTGCGCTAAGCACAATGGAGACATTGTTGTCGTGAGAAAGCATTGGAACCATCTGAAGCAACTCTTTAAAACCTCTTGTGTTACGATACGGTCCCAACCTTACCACCATCTTCTCTAGTGTCTTTGTGGTTTTAAGAACAAGTTTCATGAACAAAGCCACATGCTACGACTCTGCACTCCTACGGTAAATGTGTCCAAATACCCTCGCTTCCAAGCATAGATACGGATTCCAGCAATACAAATCTAAGTGGCTGTCAAGATTCTCCTCCTATATATTTACAACAAAAAAGATTTCATCAGTAATGCGAATAGATTATCCATATCTCAGATTAAATATAATCTCAAAGTGAGAAGGATCGGACATGGTTCTTGGATTATTCAAAGTCGACAGAATGGTCATGATGAAAAGCTAAATAGGCTTATGAAAACAAATTACCTTAATGGCGTCACAATCCATTGTGCGTAATGTTAGCTTCTTTAATTCAGGTGAGTTTTGTAGCACTCTTACTATACCAGAAATAACACATCGAGAGATAGTTGTGTCAAGCGTCAAAACTTTAGCCTTGAACTTGGGAAAAGGAAAACCATGGAGATCGGCATGAGATAAAGCCTAACAAAAAGCAAAATTAAAGACAAATATATAGTGAATAACAAAAAGCAGCTCTCAAGAAGCACATCAAGCTATATAATATCCATCCATATGACACTTGTATACACCAAAATGTACCTTAAGAAAGTTTCCACCAAGAGTAAGCTTCTCTACATTCTGCACCTTCTCTAGAATCTTTATCACAATGGTTTCAAGAAAACGAGTGTTTAATCTTTCAGGTGAGACAGAGTCAATGTCTAGTTCAGCTTTGGTTAAAGACGAGACATCAACTAAAGTATATGGAAAATCAGAGATTGTCAATCTCAATCTAACTGTAAACGTAAGGATAATAGTCGTCGAAGAAACGGAGCTCAAAACTCATCATCTTGCGAGCCTTGTAGCGAGATAGGGTTTTGTCTATCGAATCACTGTCGGGACGACATCTACCACCGAAGAAGGAGAGGGAAGGTGTATCAGACCATACATGTCTCCATCTTCTCGACAAGATGGAAGTTCTGATTGCTAATTTTGTCGGGATGAAGGCGAGGATAACTTGGAGGATCTCATCAGGCAAAGAGCTGATTGAGTCTAGATCTTCGCTTGAAACTCTTGCTCGTTTGATTTTGCGGCGGTGGTGATCGACATACTGGCTAGGGATTCTCACAGAGGCGGTGGCGTTGTCTCCGTTTCCGACTTTGTCCGCCATCGTAAGTTATCAACTGATAATTTGCAATTTCATTCCCCAACCTAGGGCTTTTGAGTAACTTACAAGTATCCCCAAAATATTAATGGGTTCTAAAAGCACATTAAATATTACTAAACCCAATACAGTTCTTCTCCTTAATAATATGCTAAAATTTGGGCGTTAATAAGAATTGCAAATTTCTGTTTCTAAACTTTAAGTTAATTTAATTGGTTATGGTAATACTGTACTCTCTCTGGGCTAAGTTGCCCACTTTTTTTTTCCCTTTTTGGTTATATGTAAATGCATTAGAAAAAAAAAAATCTTTTTTACGCAATATTGGAATGTGAAGAGGAATATGACTAAGTTAACATGTAATTATTTTACCTACTACTACATAAGTCTTTTAGTAGTTTCTTCTAACAGTTAGTGATGGTGTCTCCGGAACATCTTTCAAAGAAGTCGATGAAATGGGTGTTATGGAGAAGAAACTTCGTTCACTAAAATGCAAAGTAAGAATAGTAGAAGCAAGAAACGTGGAGATCAAGTCACAAGCTAGTACTCTGTTCGCTAGATTCTAACTCTCGGCAAGACACAACAGAAAGATCGAAGTAAACACGGGAAGGAACTCTTCGAAATCAGACCAACTCATGTAGGTTAAATCTTTTGGTCCGGAGTGTCAAGGGAACGAAGCAGCTGTCAAAGAATTGAACCAACAAAGGCTATGGAGGAAGAAAACGTCGTTGTTTTTTTGTTTTTTTTCTTTTTACGGGCGTTGAACCCAGTACCTTCACCTGGGAGATTTATCACTGGGCCAACACAACGTTGGTGAAAAACGTCGTTGTTTCTTAGGAAGTCATCAAGGTTTGAGGTTGTGGGGACTGGGAAGAGGTGGTGTTTCATGCAAAAATTTGCATCAAAACTAACCCAAAATGCAAAATTGAAACTTGCCCTCAAATCTGAGGGGCTCTGTGTTATTGAAACCAATTCAAAGTCAATTAAAGTTGATAAAGATTTAAACTTTAGGAGTGTTGATCTATTAAAGATATAAACTTTAGGAGTAAGAAAACAAAAAAATTCAAGGTTGCCAAACTTTTCTTTTGATACTTTTTTTACTTTTAGAGTTACGTTTTTTCGCCATAATATCTTTTTATAAGCATTTTTAGCATAATTTTTCATTTTGGTGCTTTTTTTTTACTAACAGTTATATATGTTTACATTATATAATTATGGCCTTTATTAGTTATTTTTTATTTTTCAAATAATTTTAATTTTATTATTAGCCTATATTTTCAAATTATTTCATAATATCCTTTATATTATAAAGCACAAGTCACCTGGCCAATCATTTTCTGCCATGTCATTTGTGATTTTTTGTCAAAAAAAATTAATTAAAAAAAAAATAATGTAATCGGAAGATAACTTCCTCAAAATAAGACAGTTTCTAATTTTTCAATATTCTGTATTTTGCTATATAAACCTGATTTCCTAAATTTTCTCACATGATCTCCACGTTAACTGTGAAACCATCTCACGATTTCAAATTTAAACTGTTTCATCTTTTATTTAACTCACGATAATTCAATTTTATCTGACATATTTCTTTCTTTTTTGTGAAAGTTATCTCACTTTTTTTCTTCTTCTGTTTGAGAATTCATGGCAATTCGAGATATTAGAGGCAAATGAGGAGAACCTTTTTTCTTCGTTGATCTTCTCTCCTAGGTGAGTTATATTTCGCTCAAACTCATGCTCACCATTTGTTAATGTTTTCTACCGTTCGCTACCTAATCTCTGTTTTCTACAATTCGCTAATTTATTATTTTATTTTTTTGTAGATTGGACTCATACAACTGTTAAATTGGTGTGCAAATTAATGGGATAACATATCAAACTCTGTTAATTTTGAGTCTTTCACGATGAATTTTAACTGATTATTTTTCCGAGTTATTGAAAACCATCAAACCCAATAACATAAAGCTAAACAAATGGTATTCGTAATTTATTGCTACTGCATTTTTTTTCCTTACTACAACGTATTATAGATGATCAGAAAAAAAAGAAAGAACTTAATAAAACAGTAAGTGAATTTTCCCGTACGTAGTACGGGGTGAATACTAGTACCATTATAAATTTGAAATTTATTTAAATTTTTAACTATCTAAACTTTTTTGGAAAACTCGTGATGGAAGAAATCATAATTTATATAATCTCTCATACGAGGCATGAGTGATAAGATTTCAAATTATTATCAGAACATAATAATAACAATATATGTTTTTGAAATTTGGTAGTTTTACAATAACTATTCTGCGGACAAAATTATTTATGTATTTGGGTTGAGAAGGTCCAACTGAAGCCCATTAAAGAATCCTTCGGATGGGATACATAATCTCCTCGGTAAACCGCAAGGAAGAGAAAACATGACGACGTCTTGGTTTGAAGATGCGCAGGCGTTTCTCCGTGGCCAGAATGAGTACTGGCGTCAAGTGAATGAGTCCGAGGTAATTCTTTCATTGTCTTATTGTTTATAGAGGTTGATGTTTCTGAATTTCTGGAGAACGTAAGTAGTTTCTAAAGGAAATCGCTTCTTTATCTAATTACTAACTGATCGGGTCTTAATTAGGGTTTCGATCTCGAGGGTATCTTAGCACCACCTGGGACCACTGGACTTATGATCCACAACTGTAAGGATGGGTTTGGGTTCAGGGTGGATTATCGTGTCGACCTGTATGCTAAGTTGGGGCTTCATCGTTACAATATGTTGAAGGTATGAAAACTATATATTTTCTCGTCGGTTTATATATTTCTTGGTACTGCTTTATATATCTTATATAGTCTCGTGAATTTATATATTTCTTGATTCGATTCTTTCTTGATCTGTCAGGGGACAAACTTCCAGCTCGATGAACTAATCAAATTCAACATGTTAATGAACATGGTGTCCGCTTACCACATTACTTTGGTTGCTTCCGATCCAGCTAGCGGTTCCGTGCTAACCTTCCAGGTTAAAGTTGAGGAACATATGGTTAACCGTTTAAATGTGACTGTCTCGATTGCTAGACCTAAAGGTGGCTTGTGTTGCATTGTTCATATTTGTTTCCTTGTTATACACTGTATAAATCTCACTTGCTAATCAATAATGTTGCTTAGGAACCATTGAGCCCCTCCCGCTTCTAGATGACCTCAAGGCCGACAGAGCGCATCATGAATTACACGATGATGATGGATTGTCTCAGTGGCCCTCAGAAGATGCTTTCAATGATACCAAACGATTTTACATGGTAAGGAACTAAGGACTTAAAGATACAAACATCATCATCACCTTTGATTTTTTTTTCTCATGATCAATTATGTAATGATTGATATTTCCTTTGCAGGTTGAGGAATCCGAGTTGCAAGACACTGATTGGATCCGTCTATATTTGGAACTTGTCCTTTGTTCAAAGGATAGGCGGCTCAGAGCCGTAAGTATTTTTTGTTTTTCTTCTCTTTTATATTAAATTACATACCCATGAATGATAATAATCAACTAATCTAACACTTTCTGTAGAGCGACCTGTCCATGTTGAAGATTGTGAAAGTGGCGGTAGAAACTAGTGATGAAGATGTGGAGCCGCCGAATGAGAGACTCAACGCGAAAACCGCAAGTTTCTACATAACTTTTCACTTGGCCATTTGGGGGATTAGGGAGGATGTTGAACGCAGAGCTATAGTTAGAAGAGTCCTTTCACGTACAGGAAACTTGATCCTCCTCGATACTTTGACTCCTTTCAAGAAGGACACAGGACTTAATAAAAGAATAATGGAAGCCTCTATGGCTGATAGACTTGCCGCGACGACTAATCCTTCCATGTTCCGTTCCCGCCGCTGAATCATATCGCCTCCGTCATGACAAGATTCGTCTAAAATGCAAAGATTGAAACTTGCCCCCCAAATCTGAACTTTAGGAGTAATGGGACCTTAGGAGGAGACTGAATGTGAACACCGAATTGATCAACATGCGCGACGAGCTAAGCTAGCAGAAGAAGTGTCATGGGATAAACGTGGGGCTAAACAATTAGAATGTTGTTTACTATGATCCAAATTATAGGAAAGGGTTAAAAGTTTAGAATTTTACATGAATTATTAATATTTGATCTTAACGTTTGAAATTATAAGAAAAACAAATATTCAATGTTCAATAATGTCATGATTATTGCCTAACCAAATAAAGAAGAGTTTACATATAGTAGAACTGAAAATGAGATTTGATGTATATATATGTCTACTTAATCCATGTGAGTAAGCATTGGAACATCAGAAGCAACTCTTCAAAACCTCTTCCTTTAATAAGATATTATATCAGCCTTACGAGCATCTTCTATATTGTCTTTGTTGTTTTAAGCATAAAAGTTCAATAAAGGAAGCCACATGCTTTGACTAACACCAGCATTGTTAATCCATGTGTCAATAATACTCCTCTTGATACATTCAGTACTTGCATGTTGCCACAATCCATGGATTCGCTGTCCAAACAAATTGAAGATGACAAAGTTCTTACTACAAATTTGATGAAAAATAATATTCAAATTCAATAATGTATTAAAGAAAAGTTTTCATCTAGTAGTATTAAAAATGAGATTTGATATGAAATGTTCACTTAAGTCTCTCTGGTTTGGCTTTTGGTTGTAATATACTAAAATGTAGTCCACTTATTCTCACTAATTCGGCTTTTGGTTGAGCTGAGCACAATGGAGACTTTGTTGTCGTGGGAAAGCACTGGAACCATCTGAAGCAACTCTTCAAAAACTCTTGTGTTACGATAAGGTCCCAACCTTACCACCATCTTCTCTAGTGTCTTGGTGATTTTAAGCACAAGTTCCATGAACAAAGCCACATGCTTCGACTCTACACTCGTACGATACATGTTTCCAAATACCCTCGCTTCCGAGCATTGATACGGATTCAAGCCATAGACATCTAAGTAGTTGTCAAGATTCTCCTTCTATATACAAGAAAAAAAATTTCATTAATGCGAATAAATTATCCATATCTCAGATTCTATAATCCCAAGTGAGAAGTACATGGTTCTTCGATTATGAAAATAAATTACCCGCATGGCGTCACAATCAATTGTGCGTACGATTAGCTTCTTTAATTCAGGTGAGTTTTGTAGCACTCTTACTATACCAGAAATAACATATTGAGTTGTCTCAAGCGTCAAAACTTTAGCCTTGAGCTTCGGAAAAGGAAAACCATGGAGATCGGCAAGATGAGATAAAGCCTAACAAAAAGCAAAAGACAAATAGTGAATACCAAAACGCACATCTCAAGAAAAAATGGGGTTGAAGCACATCAAGATCAACAATAGATAAAAGTGGCCTGTGAAACCAACTGATCATACATTGGTAAAGTAAGTTCGAGGCATTAGAGAATGCAATCTTTAATATCCA